TTCCATCTTCTCACAGCAGTGACATTTTACAGCAGTGAAAAGGCTTCTGTGATAAGAACTGTTCATAATATGAACTTAGGACAACCAACAATTGGCTACAAAACTCATGTCTCTTTCAGCTATTTATACAAAGAGTTTCCAGCTGTAATTGATATTGATACTTTGGTGAGTAATTGAGATAAATCTGGTTGAATGTAGCATCAGACTTAATTGATTTGGCTCAAACCGGTTTATGCAATGTCTATTGCAGACCCCTTACTGGTTTAAGTTAAACCAGACTCCCCCAGCATCCTGGCATGCTTTCTGGGCTGGACAGGGCTCTCTGCTCCACAACAGGGTTGGACCCTCCCCTCTGCTCCCTTGCTGGAGCTATGGCAGAGACTTCAGGTACAGCAGGGTCTGCCTGACTTCCCCCTGCCCTACCCAACCCTTACTGCTCAAGCAGGGATCTCCCCCTTCCTCCCTCCCTCAATCCCATCTCCCACAGCACAGCCCCTAGCCCCACAGACCCTAGGCATGTGGTATGCTAGCTAATGCTAAGAGGTATCTGTATGCATCTCCAATTTCACTGGGACAGGCAAACAAAACAGTGACTGCTTAGGGCTTTTTGAAGCTAATCAACAGGTCAGCTGGTAAGCTGTTTAAGAAGAGTTTGAACTAATGGAGAGAAGCTATTGTTTTGCTAATGAGGTAATAAACACTTATCAGCTCCCTGCTGGCTTGCTTGCTTGTCAGTTTTCTGCAGACAGTATAAAGAAGCAGGGAGAGAGAGATTGAAAAGCTCCATATCATCAGCAGATGCATGCACTGCCTACCCCTCCTCCCCTTGCCTCAGAGTGCTAGCAGGGGGCTGGGGGTTGGCAACACACCTGCCACTTGAGCAGCCAGTGGAGAAAAGCCCGGGACAGTACAGGCAGGGTGAGAGTTTACACCCCTCCATAATCAGAGTGTCCTGCTGGGGCCTCTGGCCATGCTCCCCTCAGCTCAGCACTCTGAGAGGGAAGGGAGGGCTGCTCTAGTGCCCCTCCCCACCAGCTGCTAGCCTGAGACACTGCAGACATGTGCCTGAATTTCCTCAGTCCAGAGGGGATGTCTGCCCAGTTACAAACTGGTTCAGCCTAGCCAGGTTAGACTAACCTGCAAAGATTGAATCAATTCAGGCTCAGGCTTTCTGAATATCTGCCCATAGGCTAAAAGATATTGCTCTTGGGTCTTCTGTATTTCTGATTTTCATTTTTCTTATTAACCAATTACTTCTTTTTCAAAATACAATGCAGAAATCTGTTAGCACTTGGTAATAGTGTAAGGTAATGTCTAAGCATATTACCTAGCCAGATGTCAGCAACAGATGAAGATCCATAGGAAAAACTTGCAAAAAATGTCTTTCTACTGGCTTGCAGGTTATTTGTAACTAATAAAAAAATAGATATTAGTTGATTGCCACAGCCAACATGGACTGCATTATATGGGCTATATGTTCTCATGTCATGTGGAAAAGTGTGAATCAAGTACTAGCATGCAAAAAACTAAATGAGAAACAGATGCAATGGGTCAGGAAAGCAAACCATCTTCACTGATGGAAGCTCCTAACGTTAGAAAGAGCAGGACGTAATCAAGGATTATAGCACAGCTTTCCTTCAAAGAGTCATTATAAAGCAGATATCCATGTGGTCACTGCTATACAATTTTCATCTACCATGAATATACTCTTCTATCTCTCTGCACCTTAAGATTAAAGAGGGGCATCAAGTTAAGGGCTTGTGTGCTATAGGCCACAAATTACAATTTAATGCTACCTGAGGCAACTTTAATCTATAAAGTATAGATGCAGAAGTGACTTCTGTACCACAGCAGATAGCAGTGGTATTATTTTTGCTACTTCCTACAAAATTGCAAGCTCTCTTTGATTACGTGCAGATCCATCGTGGTTTTCACATTGCCTGTACTTTGGCATTTTACGGAAAACTTAATTAGCACATCTAATATACATATTTAATAAAAATAAATAAAAATAGTTAAATAAATTAATAAAATAAGTAATCCATGTCCATGCTGACCTCATTTTCATCTCTCCTCTTCCCTCTATGGGGCAAGTCAGAGGAGTATAGTAGGATGTTGCCAGAATTTTTTAACACAGGACTGCATAAAAATATTTCTTCTTACCCTAGGAAACCTTGTGTTACAGTAATGCACTGCAGAGAAGAGGGATGGTGGGAGGCAGAAGAATCTATTCTTTTATTTTCCAATTTAGATCAAATGGAAATACCTGCTTTTTGCTGAAATCTGGTGTACATCAATGGGATGTGATTTGTTCTTCAGAGGCAGTTGTAAGAGCTTATGGGATAAGGCATCAGTGGTAGGGATGATTTAACAGTACCCAAAGGGGGAAGAACTCCATCAGTAAAAATGAGATTGCTTCAGTTCGCCCTTCAGCATGGTGATAGAATTTTAACAAAGGGATTCCAAAGAGTCCCCAACAGCACATTCCTACAGGAATGTATGGTACTTAAAAAAAATACTGCCCAAACTCAGTATATTTTCTACCTATCAAGGGATGAGAGAATTAGTTTCTCTCATATGGCAAAAACACTGTCCATACCTTTATCTTTGTGCACTTTGCTATTTTTGTCAATTCGGGAGCTCTTGGCCATTGGACACATTACCAGCGATCTCTCATGGAAGAGGCTGTCATCAATCCCTGGAGAGTTAGTTGAAATAAACATATAAATGCTGAAAAGGCTAAAAGGGAATTATTTTCTTGAAGGATTTGCAGTCTTCACATAACTTTACCCAATGGCCTATTTTGTTTCAGGATCAACTGCAAAAGAACAAACTGGATACTAGACCTGACCAAATCTTAAAATTCTTGATTCATGGGAAACATTGACATTTTGAAATTTTTTGAAAATAGAAATTCCATAAAGTTTGCTTTTCAGAGATGCTGCTGCTAGTACATTGTACATTTTTATAGTGTTCCCTCTCTATCGCCTTTACAGTCACTTGTATTTTTTGGATTTGTAACTTCTTTGGAGCAGGGAGTACATCTTGGTATGTGTTTATATGGTAGGGCCCTGACTGGAACTTCTGGGCATTTCAGTCCTACAGGTATGTGATGGTAATATAGATCAGTAAACCAAAATAAATTTGGTTCAGATAAATAACAAGTCATATATATCTTTACCTAGAGCACATCTTCAAGTCTTTTCTCTGGTAACTAATCTACACATCGTTTCAGCTTTGTATAGTTCTTGTTTTTAACAACTTTCAGCTTCCCTTTCTATGGAAATCAGATAATACTAAATCTTATTAATCAACTGATTAGAGGGTGCATATAGACGATCACAGAGGCTGCTCTGATGTGCTGTAATTACAGTGCGTCAGAGCAGACTCAATTAATTACTTGAGTAATTAAGACTCACGTATTTACTATGCTCCAGCCAGCCTCCGTGTCTCATCTATCAGTGTCCCCATGCTTCAAAATGGTGGTAGGGGCACTTTAACTAAAGTCCATTAGACAAGCTTTAGATAAAGCACCCCTGCTGGCATTTTGAAGTGTGGAGACGCTGATACACAAGACACTCTGGGCACTTTCAGAGCCACTGTAATTAAAGCACCCCCTCCTGCTCCTCTGAGAGCACATGTAAAAATGCCAAAAATAACTGACAAAGTTGCCTACAACTTCAGCTGTGTTTTAGGAAATGTTTGATTCATGCTTTATCCAAGCTTGTGGGATTATCTCTGTATTTAAATGTGATAAAGTACACCAGAGAACCCAGTAAACAAAATAAAAATTTCTGTTAGTGTTTTGATGGAATCAATTCCTGTGTGATATAGGTGGTTAAAGAAGGCAGGCAATTGAAAACTAATTACAGACAGCTAGCTCTAAAGAGTCCCTTGTATATCTTGTCCTTATAGAAACCATTACATTTAGGTAGTGTTGACTGTCACTGTGGAATGAATGTGCTGTGCAGAATGCTAATGATGTTACAAAATCTATTCCAACATGTTTCTCAAACCAAGGAGGACCTCTAGAGGTGTGATTATATGCCCCTCACATAATTTGACAAAGTAATATATTGAAACTAAAAAGCACTCAAGATGATTATAGATTATCCTCTGTGATTTCACAGTCCCTATACCCTTCTGTACAGAAAAAGTAGTTCCTGCAGCTTATAAGGCTGTGAAAATTCTATTTCCAGTTCATTAGTTCAGCTCTGAAATGATATAGCATGAACTTAAAATATGTTTAACATTTGAACGACAGCTTTGTACCCATGAAGAGGCACCACAGGGACAACATGATTCTGTTTCTAGCTTTCACAAATTGTAATACTGTGTGTGTCTAATTCTGGCTGCAGCCTGGAAATCCATTAAGTGATTGGTTTAAACGTAGTCATCACTTAACTTTGAACTTATGTTGACAAGTTAAAAATATTTCAGACCAGCTTTACATTCCATCTTCTCACAGCAGTGACATTTTACAGCAGTGAAAAGGCTTCTGTGATAAGAACTGTTCATAATATGAACTTAGGACAACCAACAATTGGCTACAAAACTCATGTCTCTTTCAGCTATTTATACAAAGAGTTTCCAGCTGTAATTGATATTGATACTTTGGTGAGTAATTGGGAGAAATGATGCAGGTCATGTGACCAGATAAAAAACTTCTTCTTAGAAGTTTCTTTTTATGTTTTACTGTAAAGTTTATGTCAATCACAGTTTATCTAATGTTGAAAAATGTGCAGAAAGGCACTAGCATTTTTGGATTTTTATTAATAGTACTTTTAAAATAGAATTAGTTTAAGAAACAATGGTGCTCTTTAAAAATTGTATAACTTTTCTTAATAAATAGTCCAGTACATATAACTTGGAGTGTGCGGGATATTTATTATGATAGCCTGATTTATCCAGGCTTCTTATAGTTTATTAAATGACTATTGCTTCACAATGACAGTAGAAAACTATAGAAGTTTAATAGATTCACTTATTTGCTTTTACAGACCTCCTTATATCACTCTTCAACAGACAAAGGCCTGGAAAGACCTTCTAGGTAAGAAACGATACAGTAAACAAGACAAATTCTACAGTTATAGTAGACAAGCGAACAAACCTACAAGGTCTTGTCCTTGCATCAGTGTCCACTAGCCTAGATACTTGTACCCTTGAATGCATAAGATCCTAAATCCTATTCTTTCATATTGACCTTGATTTAGGATTTCTTCAAATATCTGCTGTCTTATGTCTACCCTCTGACTCCTCTTTACGTCCTGCAAGACATTGCTCACAACACTTATGTTGGGTTGGGTTTGGAGGAAAAAATTGGGGGAAAAAATTTGGAGGAAAAAATTTGAGGAAAAAATGCAGCCATTCTAGATGGGCAGAGATTTTCCCTCCCATATCCCTGCTGAAGGCTGTACCAGCTGTGTAAGGGGGAAACAGGCAGAGGACTGTGCTTCCAGAGATGACACATGAGGTAGTTTTCCCAGGTGATCAATAAGCTAACTCCATCTCCACTGTTAAGTGTTTGATGATTTATGGGGAGAAGGCATTCAAGTGAATGCTGGGTTCAAAGCCTAAAATTGAACTAATATTGATTATTTCTTTAGTTCTGCAAGTACTGCAAGCGACTACAGGAAAAGGAGGAAGTCAGAGCCTGCTGTAAGTCATCAGAGGGCACACAGCGATCAAAATGCAAACAGGCCTAGTCTAGGTCGGGCAGATACACAAGGCTCATACAACACCCTCAGAAAACCATTCACCAGCTCTTCTCCTTCTTCTCCATCAAAAGCAAAAGGTAAGAGCCAAACAAATCTGAAAATGGACAAGAGCTTAGTTAACTACTGAGATCTTAGTATAAACTATACAGAATATTGGTGATAATTGGAAGGAACTGCATGCTGTTACTCAAACAATTACTGAGAAGTGTAGCAGCTGTCTTCTGTTGAGGAGTTAGCATATTTATTCATACATAATTATTTTAATTGATTCAAATCTAGATTGTAAAGGGGTTTGCCACATGCAGGATCTACAGCGCATTTTAAAGAGAAGAAAATTATTTGCTCCATTTCACATAATCTCATAAAAGTATATTTAGTACATTGCATTCTTACCAGTATTTATGAAGTTATTAAAATTTTTAAATGCTTCCCATATGTATAGAACATGAATGATGAGAAACAGCATTCATGATTACCACCAGATCAAGAAATCTTGAAAGCTTTTCTCCCCTTGTTCAAACCTATAGCTGATTTTTGACAGGTGATACATTCTAAAGAGCTAATTAAGCAAGAAAGCACCCCTCATATGAAACTGAATTGATTAATTTTGTTAATGCTTAAAGCACTTAATAGGTTAGATGCAACCCTTTGTTTCTGCTTCTTATGTAGGACAGTCCTTTATTAATTAACAGCCCTTCAAACCTCTCCTCCCTTTCTTCCCAGTAGTTCTTTCCTGTAACCACGTTTTTATTTTTAAAGTAAGACAAAAGGTTTGCAGATATTATAGCAATTATTTATATTGGGAATGAACATTCAGTACTGCATCTTTAGTCTTCCTATTCCCCTTTTCTTTCCATTATCTATCAGCTAAGATTTGTAATCAGGCCCACTTTGTCCTCAGCACTGTATAAATTTATTTTTAAATGGCAGTCCCTCACCCAGAGAGTTTATGGGCTAGGTTGCAACAAAACAAAACAAGGAGAGATAGCAAATTAACAGTGGGAAAGATGATGGCAGGAAAGGTAATAGTTAAACCAAGCATGCTTTGGAAAAAGGAGCAGTAGCTATTATATGAGTAGCCTCCATATCAAGGAATACATTCCTTTAGAGCATCTGCCATTAAGTTAATTGGACATGGAGCAGGACTCATCTCACGGTGCTACCTGAATAGTTAAAACTTGCAACTCCAGTTCAGTGTTTTATTGGTGGCAGAGCAGTGCAGAGAGTGAAACTGGAACCCAGTGGTGCTCAAGCTCCAGCCCACTGGCCAAATCCAGTCCACACAGCCATGTCATCTGAAGCTCCCCACAAGTTGAGAAATGTAGTGGCTGGGAAGCAGTGGCAACATTCATTGTTGTGGCTTCTAGTTATCTGGATTCAAGCTCTCTGATTTGGGTGTGTCTGGATCTAGGATTTTTGCTTTAGCTTCCAGTAGCTTTTATTTATCTTACTACCCCCTGCAGAACCAGTGGTACTTTTTATGGATAGAATGCCCCAATATTTAAGTGAATTTGGAGATGATTAGACACCTATGGCACTGAATCCCTTCTGATATTTAAATCATGCATAGTAAATGTTGGCATTTGGAAAACTAAATGACTGTTTAATATGGATTACTTGCTCTTCTTTTCTCATTTTTAATAATGTATGTACTGACCTTGATTGCTAGACTAAGTACAATAACTGCTTTCTCTTTTCTGTTCTTTCTGATATTTATTGACATTTCCAACTTTTTGAACCTGTTAATTTCTGGCAATGTCTCTTTTTTACCATGCTGCTCTATGGATTATAAAGGTGGGGATATTAGCAGAGTACATCCATCCCTGTTCAGTTATTCAATGCACAACCACAATGCCTCAAATGAGTTAGATTACTGTAGCACTTACCAACAGCATTTAGCTGTTCCAAGTGATTCAAGAAGGGCAGTCAGCTACAAGAATGGCTGGCAAATGACTCGTCAGAATGCAGAAGTCTGGAGCAGCACAGAAGAAACTGCCTCTCCCAAGCGGAAATCTCGTAGCTGCGATGATCTGCTAACAGATGATCATGACAGCTTTGCTGATGCGCAAGCCAAGTCTGAAAGCATGGGTTCTCTGTTATGTGAGGAGGATTCCAAGGACAGTTGCTCCATGGTCTGGGCCTCCCCCTATGTTCCTGACAGTCGCAGTAATGGTAGGTCAAGGGTTCGTCATAGATCAGCCCATGATGCACCAGGATTCCTAAAACTGTACAAAAAAATGCATCGTATCAATCGCAAAGATTTAATGAACTCTGAGGTGATTTGTTCTGTAAAGTCCAGAATATTACAGTATGAGAAAGAACAGCACAAAAGCATGCTTCAAGGCTGGAGAGAATCTTCTACTGAAGAGGTCCCCAGGGACATGGTTCCTACCAGGATATCTGAATTTGAAAAATTAATTCAAAAGTCAAAATCAATGCCGAATCTAGGTGATGAAACATTATCAACAATAACGCTTGAGCCTCCTAAAAATGGCTTATGTCCAAAGAGGCGATTTTCTATTGAATCCTTGCTGGAAGAGGAAAATCAAGGTAGACATCCCACTCAGGTACAACGACACTGCAAGCCTAAAACTCTGGTGCCAATTCATATTGAAGTGACCACTGATGAACCACAAAGATCTCACATGGAGTTTTCAGACAGTGACCAAGATGGAGTGGTCTCTGACCTCAGTGACTTTATCCAGATAGAAGGTTCTTCCTTTTGTAGTGAAAGTGACTTTGATCATTTTTCCTTCACATCCTCTGAGAGCTTTTATGGTTCAGGTCATCACCACCATCACCACCACCACCATCACCACCACCACAGACATCTCATCAGTTCCTGCAAAGGTAGATGCCCAGCATCCTATACCCGCTTCACCACCATGCTAAAACATGAAAGGGCTAAACAGGAAAGTACTGAAGATCCAAGGAGACAAGAAGCAGAATCTGGTCTCTCTAAGATAGCATTCCTAGTCAGTCCAGTGCCTTTCCGAAGGAAAAAAAATGCAACCCCTAAAAAACAGACTGAAAAGACTAAAAGCAAGTCATCTGTGTTTGAAGCATTAGACTCTGCTCTCAAAGATATCTGCGACCAAATTAAAGCAGAAAAGAGAAGAGGAAGCTTGCCTGACAACAGTATATTGCATAGACTTATTACAGAGTTGCTCCCAGACATTCCAGAAAGGAATTCATCTCTGAAAGCTGTTAGAAAGAGTCCCATGCAACAGCCTTTTCATCCACTGCCTCAAGATGGTGCTATTCATTGTCCATTGTACCAGAATGATTGTGGAAGATTACCTCTTAGTGCCTCTTTCCAAGACATGGATACAACCAACAACAACAACCAAGACAATGATAGTGCACTGTGTTTCCAAGGTGGATTACCTTCCTTTCCTTTATTCTTGTGATTCACTCATCCATCCTGTGCCTTTCATTTTCAACCCCCTATCATTTCATTTTTACTGAGGATTTCTGCAGTTTAAAATAAGTGTTCACCACAGAAAGGATACTGTTTTCCCATTGATGTGTCTGATTAATATTAGAGGAATAAGTTAACTGTCTATTCACAAAATTGTAATAATCTGGTTATCAAATAATGACAGCATTATTTTAGTCACCGAGTTTGGAACAGTGATTTCCAATCTGTAAACCAATGATCCATGCTACAAATTAAACAAAGCCCTGTTTTTAATAATTGGGTCCCTAAGAGAAGAGATTTTTTAGACAATTGAAAGGGTTTCACAATAAAAAAAATATGCATTGTAAAGTGATGGACAAACAGAAAACAATGTGGTGAAAGCCTTCATTGCATTTCTATTAATGAACTATGCATTCCATAACAAAATTAATAATATGTTACACCAACTATGTCAGTGTATACAACTGTCAAAAGCTGAGACATGCTTACTGTGTCCATTTTTGTACAACTTGATCAAAGCTGCACGTGCAATTTTTGTGAATAGACCCTTAGTCCATGAATAATAAAGATTCCATTTTCACTGAGCAAATGATGCAAGTTGCAATTCCATGGCAACAAAGCTAGATCTTTTAATTTAATTTACATGTTAACAGTTGCCTTATCTTTTTCAAAGTGCAAAGTAGAAAAGGAAAATTAACTAAACTAAAGGACACTGTGAAGGTGACTATGAAAAAAACCTGATCCATCTTGACCGTGATCCTCTTTTAAAGCTAATATAAAGTTAATTGCTATCATCTTGATAAGTTTATTGTTAACTTCTGTTTAAAGGAGAATCATTGCATGAATTTAAAATATTTCAAGTGAATTAATTCAATGAAAATGTATATGGCCGTTCCTGAAATCATAAAATTGATGTGGAGAAAACTAAGACTATTATACACGTTGTGCAGTATCGTCATTTGTGCTCCTCTTGTCTTGCCTTTAATTTTCACATTCTTTTCTGTAAGTTTTGCTAGTGCCACATTTGGAAAAAATTATCAAAGATGCTGCCATTCTGTCTCAACTTGTAAAACCAAATGCAGAGAGTAAAAACAACAGATTCAGTAAAAACACCTAATAATACAATTTATAGTTTTACTAGTCATGTTTTTGAGACATGGTAATTATTTATACGTCTCATTGAAATGCAATGAGTCATTATAAATAGAACTAGAAAATGTGTACACAAAGACCCAGATTCAGTTTCTGCTTGCATCAGCAAAAATCTGAAGTAATGATAATTGCTAGATAGTTATTAGGCTTTCTCTAGATGTACAGTAATATAACTACAAACAGTATTTGGCTCTAATTTTGAAATTCAGCTCAAAATATGGTTTCTGCTAGAAATAATAGTCACAGAAAGTCCGGCATGGTCTCCTAGAGTTGTATGTTTCTTGTATAAAATCATTCTATAACCAGTGGTATTTTCAGTGAAGTTGTATTTCACATTTTGGCCTTCTGGTTATCAGCAAGCTCTCACCCTTTGCGATACTTATGTGCAAGGGTTGGAAAAGGTGCAAGAGCCTCTTTCCTCCAACATAACCCAAAACCAAAATTTCTTTGCTTTCTGCAAAACTGTGGTGAAAGGTAGTATGACTAGCCCTCTTGCCCATCCATCATGTTCTCTCAGGTGTCTGCCTGTCCAATAGAGTTAGAGAACAAACAAGGGAACCCCTTAGAGCAGGGGCTGCCAGCCTGTCACATGTGTGCCACAGTTGGAATGGGGACCACCTCAGTGTGTGATGTGCAGAAGATCAGAAAGAGGGCAGGCAGCACAGAAGCAGATAAAACAGAGAGCAGAAAGTAGAACAGTAGATCAGGCATGGAACACATAGTAAGAAGCAGAAAGCAAAGCAACAGATCAGGTAGGGAGCAGAGGGCAGAGAGCAGAGTGGCACATAAAGCAGAAGGAAGGGATTGGAGTGGCATTCAGAGAGGACACGGGGCTTAACTTGTTGTACACCTGCCAAAAAAGTTTGCCCCCACTGTCTTAGAGCATCCAAGCAAGAAGAGAACAGGACACTGAACAGAAACTCACTCACTATAAGGTATGATCGACTTTTCAGCAGCAGGCCTTTGGACAGCAGATACAACTCCAGTTTGGAGCAGTAGCAAGGTGTTTCTACAGACTGCACTGCCCCTAGCCTCTCCAGACATTTTCTCCTGCATAGGTAGAATGGCTCAGCAGCTTTCTCATTGAGTGCTATTACTTTGCTCCCATTCAGATGAAATGATTGCAATGGCAGTTTCTTAGCACATGGTAACCAATGTGTGTTACCCAGGTATTTCATTTACTTATATCACAGATCAGAATAAGCATACTATTATGATAATAAAAGTGTTGTTCCAGGCCACATAACATGGCAACTGAAGTCAAACAAGT